ATGACTGTATATCCCCACAAGGTCTGTGAATTCCTGTACCCTCTTTAGAATTGTATCACCACTCCATATTTATCCTGCTAACGCATATGACTTCTGCTTCTCTGCATTGCATCATATCTACTGCCTGTCTACTTATTCCGCCTGCCTATCTATACCCTCTTGAAGCCTATCACTAACTCCCTCACGGTTCACTTACAAAGTTTGAAAGTGTGTCTTGTCTACCGGAGTCTTAGTCAGGAAAATATGTCCAAAAAAAAAATAGCAGTGTTCCTAATATTGACTTTGAGAGCCCTCACTGTATTTCTTTCTTCAATCCAAAAATCAATTGTTCACCAGTACTTTGTTTCCAGTCATGCCTGCAATTTCTTATGCATCTTATCACTTTCCTCTTGTTCTCCGAGCTGCAATATTGCTGGTCTATGTAGGATTTTATCTAACAACTTCTTGAAATCCATATGCATCACAGCATCGAAATTACCCTCATCAATCATCTTTGTTGCATTAAAAAAAAATTCAATCAAGATAGTTAAATACAATTTGCCTTTAGCAAATCCATAGTTGTCCGAGCAACTGTTAATTTTGTCTCAGATTATCATCCCTAAAAGCTTTTGCACCACTGAGGTTAAACTCGCGGCCTCAGTGTTGTTTTAAAGGGATTAGTCTTCTCTTTAAAGGTTTAATTCTGTTCACCTACATCATTTAGTTGAATGATAATCTAGCAAATAAGTAATTTCACCTTTGAATATGTCATTTATATTCTGTATATAGGTACTTTAGTAGCAGATTAATGGGTCACACTTACCTCTTTCGCATTGTTAATCCATTTGTCTAAATGGGGAGGATTAACATTTCATTATTCACAAACTGTAAGAGTCGAGGCTAAAAAAGGGTTCACAGAGAAAGCAAGTTTACAAAGCCTGCAATCGATTTTGCAGAAATTAGTCTACCTCTCAGAAATAAAAAGCGTGGTTGAACTTACCACAAATTTTCAGGAGAAAAATGTGACACTTGCTGAAACATATTTTCTCCTGACGTTGCACATTAGAAACCTTGTGACCACATTGCTTCAGTGAGAGCTTTGAACGGTGAGGTCCAGATAGAACCGACACACATTGCACAGTTCATATACAGAAAAGGGTGACTGCACTTCAACCAGGAGTTCAAGGAGTTCAGGCTGTTCGCAAACATCACCTAAACTGATGAAGAAACAATGCCAAATCTCCCCGACCTTGAAAAACATTGATCATAAACTTTACGATGCCCCAAAGCCACGATCTATACCTCCACGTGTTACGGAAAAACAACAGTTTGATCCTCCCGAAATAGATGTGTGTTACCGTTAATCCTATCATAGAATTCTGGTGCTAGCTCTCTGAAAAAGCAGACTATGGAAGCATAGCTGACACATGATTGTCTGTGTTACTCAAAGATTAAACCATCCAGCATAATTCCAATGTGGTCCATTTCTCTGTATGTTACAGTGTGTATGGAAGTTTTCTCTTAAATGTGATGAAGATTTCAGCTTCTCCCACCCTTTCACAGAGAGTGAGTTCCAGACCGTACCACCCACTGGCCCACCCAAATGTTTCCCCTCAAGTTCCCCCTCATCCTTTTATTAAATGCTTGAAATGTATAGTTAGAAAATGCTGAGCAAGCCAGGTGGCACCTGTGGAAATCGGCCGAGTTAATGTTTCATCAGAAAGCTCTGTTTTCCCATTCTTCCTACCAACATGAATAATCTTACATATTCCCACACTCTACTTCATCTGATGCCTTTTTTTGCACACTCTCGCTCACCCTGTCTGTAGCCCTTTGGGTCTTATGGTATTTTCTGCCTCTCTGGGCAGAATATTCTCAGATGAGTTGCAATCTTGGCTTTAATTCCAGGTCAGGTACCCAGACACGTTTGTATGAGAAATGATTGCAATCTTCTCAGAGGCCCAAAAACTACACTTAATTGTGCCTTGTTAACTATGCATCACTTCCTGAAGAATAAATGAAGGCAGACAAGCATGATGAAGACATAAGGACTGTTTTTCTTCACATGAGATATGGGCATTGTTGTCTGGTCAGTATTTATTGCCTATCCATAGCTTCCCTTGAACTCAGTGGCATGTGAGGCCATTTCAGAGGGCTATTGAGAGTCAACCACATTGTTGTGCGTCTGGAGTCACATGTAGACCGGACCAGGTGAGGATGGCAGATTTCCACCCTGAAAGACTTCAGTTTTTTTCCTGACAATGGTTTCACAGTCAGTAGATTCTTAATTCTGGACTTTTTTAAAAATTGATTTCAAATTCCACTACCTGCTGTGGTGGGATTTGAACCCATTTCCCCAGAATTTAACTGTGTTTCTGGATTAATAGTCTAGTGATAATACGACTAGGCCATTGCCTCCCACTGTGATATTTAATGGTTGATTGATTGTTTTTAGTCTAAAAGTCTAGAAATATGGGGATTGGTCAGGTATGTGGAGTTGGGTTTGAAGATCAACGTCATATTCAGCATCAACGTCTTATTAAAAAGTCAACCATTTAGGCCTAAGATGAGAAGAAATGTCCTCGTTAAAATGGGTTGTGAATAAATTCTCCAGGCCACAGAGTCTTGATTTTTCAGTATATTCAAGACAGAGTTTAATTAGGTTGTTAAATACTTACAGAATAAAAGGGATACAGGAATAGAACAGGAAGTTGGAGTTGAATCTTGTTGAATGGTGAAGAGGCTTGAAAGATCAAATTGCCTCCCTCCAGTTCTTCTTTCATGTGTTCATTGAATCATAAAATCCCTACGGTGTGGAAGCAAGCCATTCGAGTCCACTCTGACCCTCTGAAGAGCATCCGATCCTACCCGTTAACCCTACATTTCTAACGGTTAACTCACCTACCTACACATCTCTGGACACTATGGCTAATCCACCTAAGCTGCACATCTTTGGGCTGTGGGAGGAAACCCACACAGACACGGGGAGAATGTGCAAACTCCACACAGACAGTTGCCCGAGGGTGGAATCGAATCTGAGTCGCTGGTGCTGTGAGCCACCCTGTTACATTGTTAATACTTCAAATTAGTCCATAGGTAATGGGATCTGTAGCCTGGTGATTATAGTGCCATGTGAGCATCACTGAGCTGTTGAGGAGAAACTCCCCCAGGACAAGTTATGAAATTGAATTAAAAGTAAGGTAAATACCACATAAGAAGTCTTGGTTGGGTGTAGCCAATAACACTTCATGCCCTCAGAGCAGCCTGGGATGTGCAGTGTTACCCATATCTCAAGCAGAACTAAATAAATACAAATCTGTTGTTGATTCTTGTGTAGTATTAGTAACCGGCAACTTCATATTAAACAGCTTTTACCAGGGAGCCACCTATCCATTTTGAACAGCATGCCTGCCAAAACAGAAATTTTGCACGGACACATCCATGATATTACACAGCCAGTTTCAGCCCCTCCCCATTCATGTGGTTGAGAAACCACCAATAGCTGGAGTGCATTCAGTGAACCACAAATTAGACCATCTAACCAGTTGCACGGGGTGTCACTGAGATATGAATGACTCCCTTAGATCGGCCTCCTGCCCCAGAGTACTCCTGAGATGGTGCTACATGACATATGATAGAAGAAGAGCAAGTATTTTTGCCTGCATTGGTTTATTTTCTGTGCGAACACCAATCTTTTCCTTCGTGGCCTGCAACATTGATGGGAAATTGTGGGAAGGGAATTTTTACATTTAATCGGGTGATAACTGTTAGGCCTGCTGCAGATTTTCAAAGTGGTTTTGATACAGAACCCAAAGGGAGGTTTTAAACATGGTTTGGAGATTAATGTTGCTGCTTTGAAACAATAATTTACTGTTAATTGTCCCTTGCTTGTTACAAATAGGGACTAACTGCACATAAAACCATAAGAGAGTCACCTTCAGGATGTGCCAGCGATGGCTTGGTTGTAATTTAATGTAACTGCTAAGCTGACAACTTGCTGTCTACATATTTCCCACAGCAACACATGCTTGATGATCTGGACAGAAAGAGAGTTATACAAAGACTCTCCACAGATAAAGTTCTGACAGTGCCCTTTAAGAGCAGCACATCTGCCTTTGCTACAGCAGACTGAGTTCTCCTCTGCAGTCAGGAAAAATCCACAATGTAAGACCATCTCAGATTCTTCCCTTCTTTCCTGTTCCCTCCCACACTCCCTGCCCCCTCCCCTGCTCTCTCCTGTCTGCTCCTGCTCTCTCCCCTGCTGTGCCCCAATTCCTACTTCCTCTCCCCATGAACCCCTCGTGCCCATAACTGCATCCCTCATCCCCCTCCATTTCTCTCTCGCTCTTTCTCCTCCTACTCTCCCCTGGGTTTGAAGCTGCAGATTACAGTGGGGAGAGCAGGGCCTAGTTCCCAGGAGTAAACCTCCCCCCATCTGCCCATCCCACCTGCAGGGCTACCATTAGGTTAAGGGGCACTGATCCTGAAAAGAGGTGATAAAGACCCAAAAGGTCCAAGTGACATAAGTGGACTTCATTACTGTTTACTCCCCACCCAGTCAGGCCCAGCAGTTATTTTCTCAGGGCTCACTCTCACAAAGAAACACAGTTAGATCCTTTGGGCCCTCGAGAGGCCTAGCCTGCCTCTCCTCCTTACACTGGGCCAACAGAAAATTGGCAGGAATTCACTGATACCTGCACCATTTAGCCTGGCAGTTCTGGTCAGACATATTGTCGGAGTTTCCATTCACTCACCTCCAGTTGAACAGTCCCCGCCTCCCAGATTTTCATCCCTATTAAACTAAAAAGTGTTCAAAGAAAATAATTCCTCTGACTGCTGCAATAGTTTCTCTCCAGGGAGACTAACCTTGCATATGTCTGAATTCCAGGGCCAAACTGTGGATGGTTGGTGTCTTCAACAAGGAGCATCTAAAAACAGTAAAGTGTAAGAAGCCACTGTGTAAACTCAAATGTTTGAGGGTGAGATTTATTAAAATGATTGTTTTTCTTCTCTAAATGCAGCGGTGTACAGCCACAAGCCCGAACTGTCACAGTACCACACTGGCCTCTTCCCACAGACTATGGTCTTTACAGATGCCAGCAATCTTAGCAGCTTGACCAGTCTCCCCATGGCAAAGCAGGTAATCAGTGTTGCCAAGCATCTTTTTGGTAATGAACATTTATTTCTCTGGGAGGGATACAACAACTTAGCTTTCGAGTGCTGCAAAGTTCCTATGCTCAAGAAGGGCAAAACAATGACAGGCAGTAATCTCGAAAGTGTCAAAGCACAAAAGCAGGATGCTGCAGGTTCTGAAAATCTGAAATAAAATAAAAAAAAAAACAGGAAATGCTTCCATCGACCTGGAACATTAACTCAGCTTCTCTCTCCACAGATGCTGCCAAACCTGCTGAGTATGTTCAGCATTTTCTGTTTTCATTCCAGAAATACCAGGTTATTATCCATTGTAACCTCTTTGCAATGCAGGTCACCTACTGGCCAGAGAACCCAGAAGGAAAATCATCCGCCAGGCATTACGAAATGAAAGACCACCAATGCAGAACGCACGGTGTGGTCATTTCCAAATAATACCTGGCAAATGTCAGACTCTAAAGGTGGACATTGTACGCCCTCTGCCCTCCCACAAATTGAGAACATACTGGGTGGCACGGTGGCTCAGTGGTTAGCATTGCTGCCTCACAGCACCAGGGATCTGGGTTTGATCCCAGCCTCAGGCGACTGACTGTGTGGAGTTTGCACATTCTCCCCGTGTCTGCGTGGGTTTCCTCCGGGTGCTCTGGTTTCCTCCCACAGTCCAAAGGTGTGCAAGCTAGGTGGATTGGACATGGTAAAATTGCACATAGTGCCCAGGGATGTTTGGGTTAGACATGGGGAAGTGCAGGATAGGGGAGTGGGTCTGGGTAGGATGCTCTTCAGACGGGCGGTGTGGACTTGTTGGGCCGAATGGCCTGTTTCCACACTGTAGGGATTCTGCATACACAATGTGACTCTGCTAAACAGATTGCAGAGTCACATCGAGAACATACTTCAAGCCATTACCTGCAGACACTCCTAGTAAATGAAAGGTTCTACTGCAAAGGGGCCTGCACATTCAGTACAAATGAGACATTACTGAGAAGCTGAATGGAACTGCAGGCAGATTTCCCAAGGGAAAGTCCATCTGTTGACACTAAACAAGAACAAAATAAAAATATCAGGGAACAAAAGCTGAGATTCAGTGAGTGACAAATGAGTTCAAGTCAAAAATCTCCACGAGAACAGACTCCAGTCAGCATCCCATCAATTTGCAAAATGTTTAATGCTGGCATAAACCTGGTGCCGAGTGGGGAGCAATGTGCCGACTGCTTCGGTCCTAATCAGGGTGGTACACCATCCTGCAATTTCATCCATTCAGTTACCAAGCTCTTCATTTCGTGGAATTGACACCTTTGCCTTTGTGTTTTTACATTCCTCCTCATTAAATGGTGAGGATTGCTAAAGGCTTTCGCACATATTCCGACATCATACACCTCCTGACTCAATTTGCCCAATCCAATGAAACCAACACTTAATTCGCATTTACAGTATTTTCACAACTAGTAAATGAAAGATTCAAGCACAACAGTTTTTTTGTTTTAAATGGTCCAGTAGGTTTATTGTCTGGTAGCCCACAAGTATCCAGGAGGTGCAGCTTTAATTCTCAGGGATCTCCAAGCAATCGTGAAGGGAGGAACCTTTGTTTCCTCCCTTCAGGCCCTCCTTTAAGACTGGGCCTTTGGTCTATCTGACTGTTTCAGTGTCAGAGTCTTTTAATGCCAGGTGTGGTGAGCTTGGAGGAAGGGTTCTCTGAATTAGCCAGGTGGAGGTCTACCCAAATCCCATCAGTTTCTCACCCCCACTGCAGTCAGGTTCTGGGTGGGAACCCCTACTGCCAATTGAGGCTGTTGAATGGTCAGTTAGGGGCTACTTAAGGATCTCAGCCCACTGCCACTGACCAAGCTGCAAGAGAACCTGTTGACTGGTCAGCAGGTGGAAGTGTGTGTTTGTTTCCATTTTATGGGAGATGTTCCCTCGAACAAAGGCACTGAGTGCTTGGTTCAGGAATGGATCATTAAGAAGGCATAGGAGAGCACGCTGGTTCCCATGACCTCCACATTGAAAGACCTATCTCCTCACCCTGAGTGTGGTCTGCTGAGTGCTCTCTGGAAGTGACAGTGTCCCCATCTCCCCCTCCTCCACACCTCCCCAGCCAGCAGGGGAGACTACTGATCCTTCAAAAAAGGTTCTGCCCAACAATTTTGCCTGATTATTGTCCATTGGGATATTTTAATATGCTATAGGTGTAAATAAATGTTGTTGCTGAAAAATCCACACTACTGCTTAGTATCTGCTAAAAGGGAAGTAGCATCTTTCTAACAGTAGTTCTACGTTGTTTTGGACATTTCATTTCACAAACACACAGTCTCCAGGGAGTTGCCGATCACAGCTAGAGAGTGTGGGTTGTAAGCCGCAGTGCCATTTCCCCTCACAAGAGAGGACAGGAGAGTCAGGCTGCGAACTCCTCTCGCAAACCTCTTCATAGCTGCTTTCTCCAGCATCTGTCCTTCCCGGAAAGGAAATGCAATCCCGTCCTGTGCGCACTGGAGTTCTCCTGGTGAGTGCCCATTCTTTGTCTGTGCCCAGACTGTGGCTTGCAGCAGGATATCCAACCCTGAGTGGGGAAGGGACAATTTAACCCCATTGTGCTTTTGCTTGACCATTCACTTAACCAGGCTTCCTGCTAGATTCTGCAGGGTCCTTGCCCAATTCTGTATCTCAAGGCCACGGACAACGCATCACTCACGAGTCTTCCTCAGCTGAAGCCAGCACAAACTGAATGAGTATGAATACAAATGATTTTATTGGCACATATATTTTAAGTGAGAAAAACAGTAAAACACAATGAAAAGCTTTTCCAATGTCGCCGTGATCTGGTGCCATTTTGGTTTGTTTAAGAATAAGAAAGAAAAAGTAAGATACAGCTTAGAGTCCATCAGTCCTGAGTCAACTCATCATCAACAACGTCTGCACCACCATCCTCCCTCCACTGCCTCGCCGTCAACTACGCCGGACCCACCGATGTTAGAGTCGCGTCTCTCGCCGCTGGACCCACCTCGTCGACATTGTTGTGATGCCCTTATGCCGCTGCCAGCACGGGACCCAACCAACGATAAAGTCGTCAATCCTCAGGTGCCATTTTTTCTTTGCAGCTGGGCCTACCTGGCTGATGTCGCCTCCGCTGATGTAGCGGCCGCCAATCCCAATACCAGGTCCCGGCGAAGTAAATAAGGGCTGTCTTGGGCCCACTATGGGCTCACTTACTGCCGCCAGGAGGTCCGCCCTGGGATCCCTTGCCGCCACTGCCGTCCAAGCTCAGGACAAGAGAAGGAAAAGAGAAGAAAGAAGAAAAGAGGAAAGAAGAGCAGTCGGAGCAGATGAGCCTTGGTTCAGGAGCCCTGCTCTGCTGCCATCTTGATGACATCACTGACAACCAGTTAAACCTACTAAAGGCTCCAGTTCTGCGTCATTCAGTGGAAAATCTTTCTTGAATTCCTGCTAGTTACAACATCCTGAGGATAGGGTGGGATCAATGTGCAACACCCTGGTTTGTGGATCCAAAAAGAATTTAAAGGACCTCAGCTAATTACATCAGTATGAGAATTAAATGAAATGCTATATCCTATCTCTGAACACCCTTTGCTTTTACAAGCTTTAGTAATTTGAGAGGCAGGTTGCTAATTATGCGCAGAGCAGGTACAATGAAACCGTTGAAATTCATTTATTAACCCATTTGTTTTGAATTAATATCAGCTCCAGTGATGATTCAGTAAAGCCGACACAGAAACATTAATTTCTATGGTTACAGGATGTAGCAACATATCATCACTGAGCCTGGGTGTCAATACACTGACCTGATACTTCCTTTGATTATTCAGTCGAAACCAGTTAAATGGAACACACATGTGTGGGATATTCACTTTATGGACAATTTCCTTTAATACATTCCTCTGGAGCGAATTCCTGTACACCTGGTGAGACAGAGGTCAATAGCAGGTTGCCTATGAGACTTCACCCATAGCAAAGACTCTGGTTCCATATTGTGTTGACATTCAAAATGAAACTGCGTGACATTTAAGAATACTGACTTTGTACAGATAAGCCATGGTAATTCCCCCCGTATCAAATAGAGAAAGAAACAGACCACAAATTATGAACATTTTTGGGCATGTGAGAACAAAACAGGTCTCTCATAGGAGATGACATTGCAAATACACTGCCAACTGAGTATTTATGTAACCATGATCTAGTTGTGACTACAAGCTGCCAATACTAAGTAGATTCATAGAGCTGTACAAGCATGGAAACAGACCCTTCGGTCCAACTCGTCCGAATCTTGTCCCATTTGCCAGCATTTGGCCCAAATCCCTCTGAATCCTTCCTATTCATAGACAAATCCTGATGCCTTTTAAATGTTGTAATTGTACCAGCCTCCACCACTTCCTCTGGCAGCTCGTTCCATACATGCACCACCCTCTGCATGAAAAAGTTGCCGTTTAGGTCCTTTTTAAATCTTTCCCCTCTCACCTTAAACCTATGCCGTCTAGTTTTGAACTCCCCTAAAGTAGGGAGGGATTAAGGCACACATTATTGTCTGCCTCCTTTTATTGCGTATCTGCTCCTGGATCTGGCCAAGTGGCCATCACCAAGACCAGGGAGCAGGAGACAAAGAGGGTCAACGGACTCGACTCCCTGCCTCTCCTGTGTCTTTACTTCAATTCCAGGATACCCTTGGAGAGGGAGCATACCGAGTACCTCAGCACATTTGCAGTCCTCTGCAAATATTGAACACTGCAACAGTAGAAGTACATCGGCTCTCTATCCCTCCACAAAATATTGTTTAAATTTAAACTTGTAAGGCTTGCTTTATAATTTGTTTTTTATTGTTACAGTGCTCCCTAAAGAGATGGTTCTTAAAATTAAATAATTAATTTGCTCATCAAAAGAGAATAATAAGACACACTTTTGGAGTGTGTCCACATCTAAACTTTAATTTAACTTATGCCAGTTTCATTGAATCTTTGATTTTTGTTAGAGTGCACTTTT